CCAGTTGACGAGTGGCCTCACATTCCTGCAAAACAGGATCTCACTCCTGAAGGTGCATGAGATGCTACAAATGCCACCCAAAAAAAAATATATACATTACTATTTGCAACAGTTACTAAAAGCAGTGACAGATGGACAATATTCAAGCTTGACTTTATAAAACTGAAACACAAAACAAGTATAGCTTTTGACAAGGCTAGTTGGAAGTGAGAAAGACCAACAATTTTTGTTAATTATAACATATTTCAATCATATCATTGGACATCAATATTTCTGTGCATTTGGCAACAAGTCAGTGACTTCAAAACTCCCTGAATGTCAATTCCTGAATGTAGGTGTTTGTGCATGTTTATGATTTCATAATGATTCATTACCTTCTCAACATAAGATCGAACCATATTTTCAATATCTTCAACAATACTTTCAGGCTGGCCCTCTGAAAAGAATAACCGTCTTGGTTGGTGACTGACAAATAAAATCGCATAATGCAATTCAACACACAATCAGCATTGGAAATAAAACATACCAACAGCAACTTTCGTCAAACCGGGTAAATCAATTAGGGTTAAGTTGACAACTGCCAAACAAAGGAGATCAAGAATTAGTGTAAGCAAAAGAAATACAACAATTTGATAATGTAAAATGAAACTCCAACATTCCTCCCCTCTTATGCCACAAAAGAACATAGATGAACCACGAAAAGTGACATTAATGCAAGAGAAAAAAGATTAGAAGAAGTAATACCTAAGAGTTATCAAAGGGGTGCCAAAACTAGATCACTTTATTAGCAAAGATCATCCGAATTTACATATATATTTCCGTCTCACATAAAAACATATTACGCTTAGGAACTGTGACAGCCTCAAAATTTTGTGAAGGAGTCTTTTTTTTAAGTTACAATTTTAGGAGTGCATATGTGAAATAATCATCTGAGCCAATTACAATTACCAATTACTGCTAGGAGCCACAACAAAGCATAAGCACAAAGATGATAAATTGCAATACAAAATTAACCCACAAGACACACACACAAAAGAGTGATGCTAACTGCAACAAGGCTTTGAAAATTTACAGCTTGTTGCTTGGACGACAAGGTTCCGGTGAGTGCATTAAAACATTACATAATAAATAAACTTTTAAAAAAATGGTATTAGTAACATACCATTCGGGGAGTAGATGCTGAGATGGATGGGAACAGGAGATATCTGTTTTGACTTTCCTGTTATTCTATCAGTTTCATCCTGAATTTCCTTTCGAACCATGGCTGTAGAAAGACGAGTACATATCAGTTTTGGGTGTCAGTTTCTTGCAATAAAGCAATAGACACTGTCAGGTCAAGATAGCAAAGTGCCATATCAAGAGCATGTGCATGAGTTACTATTAAACAAAAAAACAAAAAAAAATTATCAATCGGCAGACAAGCTCATTAAAAATCCCAACTGAAAGATTAACCAAACCTTCATTTCAAATCATTTCAAAATTGATCTGTAATGTGAATCTATTTGTCTCCCAATGTAATCAGATTGACAGTTTGCTTCTACCTAAACTTAAATAAATGAATCATTAGAGGTGCTCAACAGATTTCAGTAGGTGGGCCAACTATAAATGCTCAGACGTCAAAATTTGCAGCTTTACTACAAATAAGGTGATCAAATGGAGAACTACTTTTCTCTATGAGCTGAACGTGAACAACACAGTTGTGTAAAATCCATCATTTATTAGCTATAAATAATCAATCTTACACTTACATTAAGTGAAAGAAACCTACATTCGCATCTATACAGGTAACATAGGGAGATCATTTACATACCAAAATCAGTGAATCTTCTCTTGGAGAGGTGAAGGAACTCGGCATACTCCTGGGTTCCTTCATCTGTCTTGTGGAGCTGCAACACCAAAGGCCGCCTCGTCACAATCCCTGCAATTTATTTAAGAAAACAATGCATAATCAAAGATAGAAAACCAAGAAAGAAGAAATAAACATTGTGAAATAAACTCAAAGCTTTAAATCAACCTGATCCTCTGGGGAGAAAGTCACGCCCAACAATGCTCTCCAAAACCGAAGACTTCCCCGAACTCTGTTCTCATTCCAAAAATAAAATAAATAAATAAATAAATAAAAACCAAATGTTAAAAAACAACAATAATAAAAAGAATATCAGTTCCGCTTTGTCTCTTAAACCAAAATTCCTTTTCTTTTTTTTTTCTCACTGAAAGTAATTTTCAATCAACATCTACCAAAAAAGTCTCATCCTTTCTCACTTTTTCTACCCAAAACCCTCTTTAACAAACAAAGATCATAAAAAATGGGACAAAATGATTCAAAGGCGGTGAGGGGATAGACAGACCTGGCCACCGACGACGGCAACAGAGGGCAGAGCTTCCCACAAAGAGAAAGAACTATCACTGCCTCCATAGTCACCCAGCACAGTACACGCCCTCTGTATCCTATTCACCAACCCGATCAAGCTCTCCATCGTCGTCATCTCAGCTCTCTCTCTCTCTCTCTCCGATCCAAAACCCTAATCTCTCTTCCTCCTTAACAATTAAGAAAAGTAAACAACAAACGAACAAAGCAGCTGCAGCAGCAGAGAAGCTTGACTTGGAAGTCGGAAAGACGCAAAATAAAAACCCCTCCGAAATCTCGAATGGTCAAAATATTAGTTCTCCTTTCTTCTTCTTCTTCTTTCCTCTTTCTCTCTCTGTAACAGTTTTTGGACAAGCGTCAGAGTCACGAGGTTGAATTATATGAATATGCTTTCGGGTCGAATGTGCACCGTTTGGGAAAATGGCGGGCCCCACACATTGGGCCTCTGCTAGTAATAAACGACGCGTTCAAATTTTGAAATTTGAATTTTCCATCTTTCTGGAGTGTTTTTAGTTTAATAAAAAAGCGGGGGGTCCCACCATCCCTGTTGGTAGGAAATGGTTTGGCGGCTGGGATTTGGAGTTGGATGGTTCGTTCGGCGCTCGAGGATCAAACAAACAACTAATAAAAATATTCTATTTTTGGAAATTAAATTAACGAATTTAACATGGCAATTCATTTTGTTGTGTCGAAGGATAATATAGGTTTTAGATCGTAGATCACAAATATAATTTAATGAAATTTTGTTCATTGTCGGCTTTAATTTTGATTTTAGTATGTTAGTTTGTTACTTTCTTAGAATTGATTGATGTTTTTATTATATCGTTGAAGTTTATCTAATGAAATTTTCTTTTAATTTAAAATATATATCTCAATACATGAAAGTTTAGAACGCCGTAAAGTTGAAAACGGATCTAAATTTGAATAAAGTAAACATTGTTACATTTGTTTATCTATAGTAAGAGCAAGTCATATAAGTTATGAAACTCTTCATAGTTCTATAAATTGGAATGAAAAGTGAAGCCATAAGTGTTTTTTTTTAAAGCAGCTAAGTTAAGCTATAATCAGGTCATCCCCAGACAAAGATACAGATGAAATTTGACCATGTCAATGAAACAACGATATATATAGTGGTGAGTTTGATATTTAACTATGACTAACTCGATGTGGTGACCTAACTTTGTTATATGTGAATATCCCGTTGTAAAAATGGCTTTGTATGAATGGAGGCTCTAAATGGGGCTGCACCATTGTTGAACTTTAAAAGGTCGCACGTGGGGTCAACAAGTCATCCCCAATAGAAGCAAGTTGAGTATTTAAAAACCCAAGTCTGGGCGGAGGGTTGCATCCACCTCCATTTATATATAGAGCTCTGGTTGAAGCCACTGAAACCAAGCTGGGCTCGTTACGTGGAAAGCTGAAGCCCACTTTAGGTGCTGTCATTCACTCGCTTGTGCAGCTCCACATGGCTACTCGCTCGGATCTGCTTTCCTTGGCTGATCCAATGGTTGACATTGTGTTTTTTTTTTTTACTTTCCTTGGCAGGCCCCTCTTTGCTTATATTTCTTTTTGTTTTTCTAGGATGCCGAATATTGATGCTGTTACTTTTGTATTTTGTAATTTTTTTTCTTCTTCTGTTTGCTGTCTCCTTGTGTTTGCTTTTAATTTATATTATTTTTCAAAATCTCATCCAAATTGTACTGTTTTTTAATTGAAATGTTTATAAAAAAACATAACATAAACATCTACGAACACAAAAAAAGTTTACAACAAAAAAATTTAGCACGTAAATTACAAAATGAAAACATTTGGAGCTCCAAATATAGGGCCTCCATTGTGAAAAAGATTCATTTAAAGTCCGAAAGATTTCAACGGAGCTCTAAATGGGGCTCTATCCACCATTTTTAGAGCTTACCATTGAGCTTGCCCTAAGGGTAAACTAGCAACTTCACCTCACATATTTAAAAATCATAGGCTAATTGCAATCAGTTGGTTAAACTCTTACACCTCTACCTGTATGGGTAGAGGTTCGAAACCCTTAGTCACCCAATGAGCGTAAACCCCCCAATCGTTTATACGGGTAGAGGTTCGAAACCCTCAGTCACCCAATGAACATAAACCCCGAATCGTTTATACTCAAAAAGAGAAAAATCAAAGGCTAATTTGGAGCAAGTCTTCCTAAGCTTTTCCCCCGAGTTAGATTTTAGTCCCTAAACTCACCTCTTAGTTCAGTCCTCTAAAATAAAATAAAAAAGACGAAAACCACACAAAAATAGTAAGAAAATCTCTACATTTTCTGGAATGTCCACTACAATGGAGGTATGGGGAAAAAACCTTCCGAACTGTTCAAACCAAATCGATAAAAGGAATTAGGGTCAATTTTTACACTAAACAGTGAAATCTTAGATCACACCGAACTGAACCCCAATTAGTTTGGTTCAGTTTGATTTGGCCTTTGAAACCAATACCGAACCAAATCATCTTGACACTTATATTTTCTTATTAATTATCACTATTTGTTATTATGTTTCATTCATCCGGCATACTGTTATCAACCGTTCAATACCAAAACTTCAAATTCCTAAGCCATTCAAATTTGACATCATTCCTCTCCATCTTCCACGGTAAGAAATTTTCTCAACTATGCTTCAATTTTATGGTTTGAAATTTCGTTTATTTATGAATAAATTCTCTCCGCCACAAGAACCACTATAACATCATAGAGTTTCTGGGATACCTGCTCAAAATTGAAGAGCAACATGACAAAACGTGTAATTTTGACTAAAAGAATCGATAGATACAACACTTATATTATTGACTTCTCGTCTACACGAGATCATTCCTTCCTGAAAACTAGCGTAGGGTATTCTGGACTCCACATGCTGTTCTGCACATATTCTTTGATTTCTTCCTGCAATCCAAAATTATATCAATGACCATGGCAATTCCAGAACCACTGATGTTTAAAGAAGCAAAGACATTCATGATATCTTATGAATATATTCATGAAAGTAGTTTCAGATTTGGATAAAACGTTTCTCTTACAAATTTGACTGATCAGAAAATAAGAAAGTTTGTCTGGGAACACTTTATGAATTTGACTTCTACACAAACTTATAAATGCTAGCAGTGTAACAAAATTTTCAAGAAAATAAATTTTATGCTACATCAAATCGTCACGGTAATTAAAATAATATGGGTTCAAAACATTCTTGTCAAATATATGCAGAAGGGATCTTCATGCCCTAGATGAGATGGTTAATCCATCTTCTTCCTTTTTTAATACTCTGACTGCTAACAGTTAATCTTTTCAATATATTCCATTATCAATATCATCCGACAAAGCAATAGAAGTGCAAACCAGATATACCTGACTAAGTTTCCGAAGCTCTCGAGAATCCATTTCGCGGTACCCTTCGGCTAGATCCTCCGCTATAGCTTCCTTTATCACAGCTGCAGCCACCTGCTTTGTAATATCACGTATGCTGCAAATATGAACCGGGTTTATAGACATGCATAACAGCTTGAGTATAAATCCTTTTAATATCAAATAAAGATAAATACAGGGGAAAGGACACAATAAGAAATAATAAAGGCCATTTTGTACCTAGATATAGAAGGGTATATAACCCCTTTAAGAACCTCCTCGTCTGTCATATATGCTGCAAGGCTGTTTTCAATTTGACTGTTAGAACTTAGAAGAACCTAAAGCATAATCTTCCACTCTAGAATATATTTTAGAAAGTTGAATTATTCAAATGCACATGTATATCTCCGAAAAAAAAGTGCATACAATCATAAATCAGTAATAGTAATCTGTACTACAATAATAAGCAGATTCCCCCACTTTTCTTCCACACTAAAGGGACAAAAATGATCCTCAATGGACTAATGGAATACTTTCTCCATATATGTCTAGTTTCATACAGTTACTACCTTATACTTAGAATTCCCTGATCCAAATACAGTTTCTCTATGAGAGAGAGCCACCTTATCCTTAACATTTTCTCCCACTTGTTGTCAATGACAGTTACAATATGCATGTGTATATTACAACTAAAGTTTGGGTAAGCAACCAATTACAAATCCGAGATTAATTCATGTGATAACATATTGACTTTAAAAAAGTATACAGGAGAGTATTATTTCAGGGAAGGCTCAGAGCACCTTCTCCAATTGATTATTAACACAGTTTACCAGATAATTTGTTTGGGTCAAGATATCTTATTGATCATAACAGATGATTCAAGGACAATAAATAAAATGCATAGATTCTGAAATTCTTTTTTAAGACAAACAGAACTGTTGAAATGTCCATCCAGTAAAAGTTATTGATGAAGTTTATGAGAAATACCACTCTGCTGCAGCCTGTAACATGCCATCAGAGATGATTCTGGCGCCAGATAAAAGAGTGCCAAGTCCAATGCTGCATGAGAAAAGATGCATTTATAATCATACAATATCACAACTGAAACAGTGAAATTAGATCCGCATTCCTTTAGAAAAGAGAAAGTGGACAACTAACCCCGGAAAAAGGTACATGTTGTTTCCCTGGTTGCAGTGCCCAATATGGCCATTTCCTATCAAATATAGAACTCTAGGTAAGAACTTCAGATAGACCATTTTATATTATATTAATGTAGAGAAATGATTCATAATCTCAAATATAACTAGCATATAATTTTATACAAAGCTGAGGAATCTTTTCTAGCACTAGAAAGAGAAGCTTCTTTTTTTCTCTCTCTTTTGATAGTCGTAGTACGGAAGGACAATGTTTTTTCGTCAGTAGAATGATAGAATCAAAGCAGGAAAAGGATAGCCATTTTAAGCCTACAGAATAAAAAATGGTCAATGAATTGGTAAAGCTTACAAGCATCATATCATAAAGAGAACATAAATACTCTTCAGATGAACATGACTACTCAAAATGCCCTTGTGCTTTTCATGAAAGAGAGCCACCAAACAGGATCAAACAACTGCAGGCCTTGGTACCTATGTTAGGCATGTGCATGTGTGCCCATAACTCTCACATGCATCCATGGTTGTTTGTAAGGGAATGCATGTCTTATAGGAGTCAAACAATCTGTTAGGTTATTCCTCTCCAACATGATGGATCTTATACTCAAACTCTTTATCCTTGGATGCATTCTTATATTAGCGGCCCAGTTTCTTTAATAAGTCATTTTTTTATTATGAGCACCAAGGGGGTATGAGATTCATGTCTTTTAAAAATGAAATCTTTTCAATCCTTGAGCGATTTAATCCATGAATTTCTTTCTCTGCCTTAGTGCTTGGACACACAATAGCTCGAAGACTCAAACCTTCCACCAAAGTCACCCTTAAGTGTATGTGAAAAAACAAGCAAACAAAAAAGAGGGTTTCTCATTTAATTAACCATTTGTGTGTGTGCATGAACAACCTCCCCAATCTCCCAGTACAAAATCGGTTTTTATTTATATTTATTTTTAGAAAAATGTCAGTACTGTAGTAGTTATAATTTCCACGGTTAACAGCTAAACAATCATATCAACTTCAACAACGTGGGAGATATTCAAACATTTACTACAACAAGAAAGATACAATAGAGGAAGAAAAAGAAACAAATTTGTCTTCATACATACCAAGGTCCACGTCTTTGAATGGACTTCCACTAGCAAAAACAACATTGTCACCCACAATAGAAAATGCTTCTTCAGGAGTGCACTCAGCTATTCCAAAACAAAATAGTGTCGTTCAATAAGCCTGAATTTCCATACCATTCCCCCCCCCCCCAAAAAAAAGCCCCTTCTCCAAAAGGAAAGGAAAGGAAAAGGTGTACCATTTGTTGTCGGATTTGACATTGCAAAGATGGCTGGTCTAGTTGACGTTGAACCTCTAAGGGCCTCTAATACCTAAAATTGCATCTGCCTCACATCAATTTTGCAAGAAGAAAAAATGCTCGGCGTAGCCACATAGCAGATTATTGAAATTCTAGAAAGAGAGAGAGAGAAGCTAACAAAAAATGATCCAGACAATATTTCATCTCATGTGTCATGACAAACTTGGATATAAAAGTGCAAAAATGATCCATTGAAATAACAAAACAGAGATAGTTAATAAAAAATTTGTAGTTCACAGTCAACATCTGTATGTATTTTGCAGCATCTTAGAAAATTGGTTAAAAATATCGGAGTTTCTACCTGACCAAGAGGCAAGGACAACATACGTAGTCATTATTTCATAACCAAAAGTTACATTTTGTGAATTGTACCATGTAAAAGTTAGATAGTGCGCAGTAATATTTTATTCAACCTTCTTATTTTAGAAAATCAACTTTTCTTTCTTGATCAAAAAACCATGGACATCCACAAGTGTTAAATTTTTATCATAACACATAATTATCATTTCTGAAATGCAAAACAATTACTCAATATGCAAAATGATCCCGGAAGCATGCAACAAAGGGCCATTCCTCTCCAAGATTTTTACTATAAACCATTTCAATTTATAGGATGCATTATAAATACCTCTTTCGAGAACAACCCCCCTACTGCAGAAAGTCCAAGAAGTACATCAGGCTTCACTTGTTGAACCTGATAAGTAAAGATTACTAAGACATCATCAACAGTTGTGACCAAATGAGAGTGTCTACCATTTAAAATTAGACAATATAATTATATAACTAATAATATAAACTGTTACCCAATAATTAAAAGTGTAGACAGGATTAGAACAGTTGACAAAAACATATTTGTTAGGACTCTAACTGCTAATTAGTCTTGATGCATAAGCAGATTCAGCTCAAAAACATTTTGCATTACACACTTAAATCAAGTAGAGTCTTATTAAATAATTCACTGGGAGCATATAAGAGCATGTTGTATAAAATATAAGAGCATTTTTGCTCACCACTTTAACCCAAGGTCCACCCTTCCCAACACTTGACACGTGTCCATATGCATAACCATGGTTCCATAAATATAAAGTAAAAAGTTAACCATGGTTATGCCTATGGACACGTGTCAAGTATTAAGGAGGGTGGTGAGGATACGCCTTGGGTTAAAGTGGTGAGCAAAAATATTTCCATAAAATATAACAGTAATCGGAGTGTTAGTAAGGCAATTCTTGCAAGATGTGTATGAAATATCTTTTGTTACACAGCAAGGCCACATCCAGATTCCTGTACTAAATTTCAATTTTCTAAACATGGAAAAATCCCACCATGTAAACCATGCAGGCTTGTAAGTGCAGAAGAAGATAATATTACATACTAAAGTGTGAAGAATTCACTAACCACTTCCACAAGACTTGCGCCTTCCCTTAACCCTTGACGATGAATTTCTTTGACATTCCTTGCAAAAGGACAGGCTTCTGGATCAAGATCTTCCCGTTCCTCTGTGATCAGACCCTGTATACATGACAACTGCCAAATTAATTATCTTGTCTGGCTAATATATAATATAATTGAAAACATAATTATCTTGTCCGGCTAATTGTGAAGCATATTGAATAGGGAATATGATAGCTGCCCCCACGTTCTAAACCATCAGTCTGGATATAAAGTATACATACAGGGAAGAGCCCTATAGCCACCATAAGGTTATCTGATAAAACAAGAAGCTACAAACAGGTGTCACCATACCTAATTCTGGGCAGTTCAGTTGATATTTCAACAGTTCTGCTAATAGGAAACAATTACGTCAATGATGGATGGGGTTGGGATTTGTGAAAATGAAAAATCAGGGCACTTCTATGATTCTATGTAAGCTCATGATTGAATGGAATTCTAAAATGAAATCCATTGGAAACAGGAAACTGAGCGATTAAGGATAAACAGCTTGTATAATCTGTCCAACAGATCCAACAAATCATGGAACAAGCCATCAAACTCATCCCTTGCAGTGGTAATCTACCACTCGTAGATCTATCCTGCATAGTGAATAACATTGAAAGTTCACCATTTGGCCTATTAACAACCGAGAAGACCCAACTAGTGTCAATGCTGACCAATCAAGAATTCCTCCTTAGTCACGTGTCTCGGATCCCAGCTTAAGATAATACTTCCTCACTATGTTAACCTCCACTACTTCCACTATGACATATGCAATTCTCGCCAAAAAGTATTCAAACTATTTGAGTTATATAAATAATGAGCAAACTACTTGTCTTTCTGTGTCTAAGAATTTAAAATTGATTGTCACTAGAAATATTTTATTAAAGGCCAAACACGAAACCTGTCCCGTTGTAACAGAAGCACAAATTTGATTTTTAAAAGTTAAAAGAGTATTTGACGGTTGTAAGGCATTATGTGACCGCTTGTTCACCTTGGCATCAACCACCCAGAATTGTCTGCCTGCACTCTGAAATGCATGTTCATTGTTCCCTAACATCCTTGCCATTGTTTTTCTTGTAGCATTAAGAACACCTATTCCTGCACTGCAGCAATGCAATGATTAAGCAAAGCAGCCTTGGTAGTTGATCTTTATACTGTAAGTTCTTTAGCCTCATTTTTCAGTATAAAGATGCATAAATTCAAGTCCAACTGAGAAGCCTCCCAAGAAAACGGTCAGCAGATTTGCATGTTTATTGACATGAAAAGTGGTGACTGCAAGGAATGCAAGAAAAAAAAATACTATCTCCAAGTAAATTTCAATAAAACCTTGTTTAAAGTATTAAGAAACAGGCCCTCTCTAAATCCCACTAAATTTAGTAAACTGACAGGAAAACAAAAGTGTTTAGAGATGTTGGAGGCACAGCCACATTCAAACGACCACCAACATCTCATCAGCCATTAAATCAATAAAATAAAGTAAAGCTCTATCGGGTACTTAATACCACTCCGTCAAAACATCCCCACTCCTGTATTTGAATTTGTGTTTTTAACTGCTCAGAAGTCTATGCTTTAAAGAGATGGATATCTTTTAAGTACTAACCTTCCAGCACCAGCAACAACAATCTTTTGTTTAGGGAAGTCAATCATTGGCCTTCCTTGAGCCCTTACAGCTCCTAAAAGTCCAGCAATTGCAACTCCTGCGGTTCCCTATAAGACGAATTGACACGAAACTAGATGAAATTATACCAGAATGGAAGGGTAACTTTATTTCCATATATCAAATTTAAAACAATTTTAAAACAGTTTTTCACGTCTTTACTGTTAGATAACCATTGGATCCCAAAAGCTTGAGCTATTAAGGGATCAGATAACACTGTACATCAAATCAACACCCTCCCTCAGCATAACTCAATCATTCATGCGAATACAGATGTTTAGTGTATGTTGGATTAAAAAACAGAACTAAAAAAATACAAAAAGATGTACAGTATCATTCTTTTGACTCTTGTCCCAATCCAGTGTTTGGAAAAGAAAAAATGTAAAGTTTTGTCTCAAACAGACTTATAAATAATAATACAAAATTACAGAAAAGGCTAGTACATTTTTATTTCTTTTTTATTTTTGGGACTAAAGGAAATATGATTTGAATTTTTTTAATATGACAGGCCTTTAAATAAAATTATAGAACTGGGCCTAAAAACATGACTTTACTTTAACATTGTAAACTGAGGCCTTACTCAAAAACCGAGCAAGGAGTTTGGATTGGCCCTGCTGATTGATATAAAGGGATAACACAAACCTGTAATAAAGATGATTAGACGCTACCACATGAAATGAAAGAGTTACCTGAACATCATCGTTAAACATTCTATAGGTATTTCTGTAGCGCTGTAACAGCTTAAACGCCCACTTGCTTTGAAAATCTTCAAACTGTACAAAAAATAGAGCAAGTATTTCTTTAAAGTTAAAAGGTGCACTTAATGCATTCCAGCTTCTGGTAACTAAATAAACATGAATGACATTCAAATTACCTGCACAATCACATGAGGCCAACGGGTAAACACTGCTTCCATGAATTCATCAACGACAGCAAGATACTCATCACCATCAAGACGGTGTCTTTGCAATCCCAAATCTAAGAATAAATAATAGAAGGTTGTTGATTGCTATGGAGATAAATTCAACTGTTAAAGAATACATGTACTTGGTAAGAAATATAAATGCCACTGATGATAAAACTTGGAAGTGAAAGTTAAGAGGCGCATTTGCAGAATGTAATTCATTGAACAGACATTGAAAAGGATGAATTGAATGGTAACACAAGATATGTGCTTGCTATAGCTGATATTTTCAAAACATTAACTGGCTTTCTAATTAAAAATTAAACTGAATGATGCTACTGCTAGTTACCTCTTATCTATTGTTGTTCTTTTTTAACTTCTACATATAGGCAACAGTGATGGTAAAGAAACATATTCAATGAGAGAAAGGGAAGAGGAGTTCTTGTCATCTAGATCAGCACTGATTAACTAATATCATACACAAAAAGTTTTGGATGCTAAGTTTGTATGTTCTCTTTCCCACAACAGTAATGGGCTCTTGTTTTACAGTGAAAAGAATCACCATGCTTCTTGTACAACACCTCTTTTATGAATCCTGTATTAAACAATCACTCACCATGTGCTCAGTCATTACTCTATATGGACATCCTAAATTACATATACAGCATATGGAGAAGATGATGACAGAACACCAAAAATACAATAATCCGAAAACTTGAATGCCTAGTCTATTATCATATGCCTGTACCATGCTTTCAGAGCCTCAAAAATATAAAAGTCGTCTTCTAAAATGGTTTTAACCAAATTCTTTATAGTGCCACTTCAATGTCTTCGCAGATATATTGTACCAGCACCATATTAACATTGTAAATAAACATAATAGCTGTTTTTTGTACCGCGTATTGAAGATTAGATGAGGAAACACTTACACAAGGGGTCTTTGAGCAGTTTTTCATTGTTACTTCCAACATCAATCATCACAGGAAGTACCTATAGGATGGAGCATAAGGGGTTAAGAACAATATGGAATTTTCCAAATAATTCTCCATAAGGCACCATGAGGAGAGTATATACTAACGATGGATAGCACAAATCAATGCGAAGGTTCACTAGGTCAAGTGACAGTGAAGAGATAAAATGACCTCAGCATAGACAAACACCCGAACAGATCCAGCGATTCACAATTAGTTATAACCCTTTTTTATTTTTTTTGGAATATGAAAGTATCACTAATTCCCTACTATTACAACAAGAACCCTTTAGCATTTGATTTAGCCATCTATGAAAGATGCCAACTAAAAGCTTATATCAGAAACATAAAAATTATATCATACTATAAGGAGTATACTCCTTTGATTTAAATGTGGTTCATTGATACAAATTCGACAAACTTGCTTACAATCATACTAGAAGGAGTAACTCCTTTGATCCAATTTTTGGATGTGTATGTTGAAATAAACACACCACAATTATCTAATTAAATAATAAAGCATAAGCAAGAGAAATAAAAATGAGTAAGAAATTACCCTTTGAGGGTTTATTCCAGCAGCAGCAACATATAAATCCAGTTTCCCAATTGCGATTCCAATTCCCTGGACTCCAAGGTCCCCAAGACCCAATATTCTGCTCCCATCTGTAACAACAATCATATCAACCTGCACAGGAATTCCATGATTGATCATATAAATTAGGCTGAATTTTTTCTGAAACACCAAGATTTAAGTTCACAACTTGTATTCACTTTTCATAAGCCACATTTCAAGGGAAGTATTGAAATGATAGGAAGGGTAAACAATTTTAACCTCTGTTTTCTATTTCACTACCTTCAACAAGTGACTGTATATAAGTACAACTTGAAGCCTTTTATCTCCTAGTTTTAAACAAATTTCAACATTAATACAGATAATCTATTGAGTTAAATCAGTCAACCATGAAACCCACATCTCTTACTCTGAAATACCATATCTATAACTACCATTTTGCATGTAAACTAGTCCTGGCTTGTATCACTAAGTTTTTTGAGACCAAAAAAAAAAAAAAAATCCATAACGTTCAAACTAGTAACCAGAAAATCTGTTGGTATTATTCATTACATTAGCAAAGTGAAATACAGGGAAGACAGAAAAAAGCACCAACAAATGGCATATTGACAAACAATATGAACCGAAGAAAACTGAAATCTGGGACCAAACAAAGTTAGCCAAACTTAGTAAATTACCACACTAAAAGTAACAATAGTTGAGACTAAATTTGAGCATCTTAAGAATTCTTTACCAGATGATTCTAAGGGACTCCATGAGCAATCAGCACCTTTTTTTTTATAGGAAACAGAGCATTTTATCAGTAGAAAAGGGTACAAGCAAAGTGAACGAGTTGTCCGCTTAATTGAAAAACACTAAACCTACGAAAGCCTAAGAAAATAAAGGCCAATCCAGAGATAATAATAGTTCAAATAAAATTCGTCCTACAATAAGTGCACCATTGACAAGTATAAAAGACCTGATCAGCTGGCCAATTATAAACCATGGACATCATTTCTCCACGATCTTCCGCACTGAAGTACATTCCCCTGGGCCTTCTAAACAAACCGCTGTAATTCTGGCAAACAAGACCTACAGTAGGAGTGTAGACTATAGGTGCATACTCCTCAATGTTAGCAATCAAGACCTGTCAAATTCAGAGATTACAATTTTAAACAGAAAATGATCCATTAAAAAAATTGAACATATCAACTTACCCATTAAAAATTTGAAACACGTTTTCAACTATCAGCCAATCAGGACAAATTCTAAACACTGATTTTAATTCTATTACTCCATATAGAGTAGATGAATATTAAAGTTTGCAATTTACTTTATAATACATCGTCTCATTTCTGTCGTGCAATCGGTTCAGTATCCGCCACTTGGCCAGAGCATTTGGATCAGATGGTCCATCTCTTGCTTGCTCTTCAAGTCTCTTCAGGTCAACCACTGTCAATAAACAAATTTCAATAGGTATTGCTTAAAATGTGCAGTTGGTTTATCTGTAAATAAAACATGTTCTAAAACTAAGCGTGAAAACAACATATTGAAAAGTTATTAATTACCATGGCTTAAAAGCAAACAAGCATCAATTCATTCAGTATATTCTAAAACGTGCATAAATATGCAAAAGTATTAACACACTAGTATCTTTTTTAGGAAGCCTATGACACTATGTTTACTAACTTCCGAAAAAAGTAAAGTTAGAATAAACTTACTGAAGCGTTCAATTTGCTGCTCGGTAGACATGACATTTGGAGGGAGAAGTCCCCGGAGATCAAGACGATCTCGTTCTGTGAAGGAAAATGATGTCCCCTAGTTTGACAATCATTTAAAAGAAGAAAAAAAAAGAGAGAAAAAGGAAAAAGAAAAAGTAAAGATCAACTCTTTGTAAATTAAATTAAGCAAACATTGGAACCACAAAATGCTAAAACACCATTACAATTCAAATGCAATAGATAGTAACACAGAAAGCCGCGGTTAATCACCAAAATTTAACAGTTACTCCAAATTGATAAACGCTCACACTTTGAGTTTAGATTATAAAGAAAGAGCTCTGTATCAGCAAAACAAAAGCTAATTTGAAAATTTTATTCCTAAAAAACCAAAAAATGGGCACAATACTTTTCTATACTCAAGACTTCCAACAATGAGATAGTATAATTACCAACATGGTTTAGTTTAACAAAACCTACAACAATTTCCACCACTAATCACTTTATTTAACCTTAACCAGTGACAGAGAAGCCAATTTGCAAAACTAATTGCGCATAAATAAGACCCAACCACTAATGGATCTTCAAAAATAAAATTCAAGAAAGCAAATTAAACAAAACAAAACACAAATAGAAAGGAAAATGGCTGATTGGGTTACTTTATTGAACCAGGGGTCGTGAAGAATGTCGAGGCTGCGCTTGTGTACAATGATCGGGCGGTGGCCCTCAGTCGTGGTGAAGGATCTCGAGTGCGGGAGCAGAGGATTGCTGCCCATTCTGACTCTGTGCTTCAGGTGTTTGATCAGGGACGAAGAGAGCCTCATCGGCGAGTTGAAGTTCGACATATCTGACTGAGAATGTGAGAAGAAGAAGACTGCCAAGAATAATGGAGGCTTGTGATATTGTTGGCAGTGAAGACTCCCCCAATTGGAAAAGAGAAGAGGAATCCCCCAATTTCATTGTCAACAGTCAAAACAGTTCTGCTTTTTGCTGGGCCCATCTCCAAAACACGGGGACCGACACAACATTATCTGCAATCGGTCCTCTTATATTTTGTTGAATTTTTATGGTGACGATTACAAAATGTGATTATTAAGCTCATAATTTTATATGTATACATGTCATATTTGCTTAGTCCTTTTGCTTAGATTTTTAGCATTCTAAGTCATTTACCTCTCTTTGTGTGTTTTGTAGGTCAATAAAGCAAGAGGGCATAATTCATGCAATTCAATCATGTTAAGGCTTGATTTAGATGAATGGAAGAAGAGCTTAAAGACAAACCCAATTTGGGTTACACTCCCTTGTCAATTTAGTTTCGTAGGCCACATTGCAGGCCTTATTGCAGCTACCTACACAGCTCAGATGAGGAGACATTTTCATGGAAGTTATTCCAATGGGTGTCTATTATAACATATCCAAAATTCAGCTCCGTTGGATAAATCGGGAGTCCGTCACCCATCAAATACAACCATGCTCAAGAGGATGTTTATCTGCAGCTGCCAAAACTCAAGACTGAATTAGCAACTTGTTTTGAGCTTAACATCTTCACCCGATCTTGGATTGGCCCAAATGACATTTGGTTGGAAATATGACATTCTGAACGCCAATCTGGAGGGATCAAAGTCGTTATTTGCTTAAGGGAACCCAATCCGTGAGCCCATGAAGTTAATGATCATTCTGAGAGTTTTTATCAAAAATAGCCAAAATCTACTCCATACTTTCATAAACGTCAATTTTTATAAAAACTTTCAAAAATAGCCAAAAGCTCACTTGAATAGACTTAAATGCCCTCAAAACTAAAACTCACGTAAACACCAAATTTGAGTCCCAAATAATGTGACTTGAAATAATAAAATTTCCATTGTGTCTTGATTTGTCATTTATTTTATTTTAGAAAAAAAAATTTAAAAATCATACTTAGTTAATTAACCTTAGAATCTCAAATTAAACCAAAGATTAAGTGACCTCCTTTCTTGCCATGAATAACCTCACCACCATTGGGCATGTACTCATCTATGACTTAGATAAGAAGATTTGTTTCATGGGTTTGAATAAAAATCCAATAATCTCACAATGTGCCTATGTCGAATTCAACCTACAGTTTGAATCCTAACGTTGAATCACTAGGATGATAGGATGACCCTCTGCTTATTGCTTGTATTTTTTCATAGCCATGCATAGCTTCTTTGTACATAGGAGAACCCCTAATGAGTTAATGTATGCTTTTTGGATTTTTTCTTTTGGCTTCCCTTGACAATTTTGTAATAGGATTCTTATTGTTTTTATCAAGCTCAAGTTTAGTTTAAAAATAGCTTCTCTAGGTGTTCTTAATGGGCTAATTAAGGACCAATATTCAGATTCCATGCTGGAGTGGGATATTGTGGGATGCTTTTTGGAACACCAGAAGATCAAATTTCTACCCAAGTATATCAAGTAGCCGGTGGTGGACCGGCGAGAATGGGGACAACGACCCAATCGGCGTCAAAGTACGCGGTTAGGCGGCAGGAGTGGACTAAGGACAAAGTGTTAACCCAAAATCAAGAGTCTTTTTGATGTAGCGCAAAATACGCTTGACATTGATCATATGAGAGGAGAGGGGAGCGCTCATGTATTGTACGACAGTGTTGACCGCAAATGCCAAGTTGGGCCGTGTGATGATTAAATATTGGAGACATTCGACAAGTTCATGATAAGAGGTTGGAAAGGACAACAAGTCACCATTAGATGTGGAAATAGAGATTTTGGCTGCCAGCGACGTGGAGGTAGGCATGCAATCTAGCACATGACTTCATTGGAAGAGATCGTGGGCATATTGTAGTTGAGAGAGATGAAGACACTCATTGGAGGTGGTGACTTAGAGGCCCAAAAAATATCTTAGGGGCCCAAGATCTTTAATGTCAAATTCACAGCCTAAGGCAGAGATAAAATGTTGGAGAAATCCAGAATGACTGCCAGTGATAACAATTTCATCAACGTATAACAAGAGAAAAATTGTGTGATGCGCATGATGATAAATAAAAAGAGAAGCATTCGCCCGACTATAGGTGAAGCCAGTAGAGATGAGAAAAGTACTAATGCGACGAAACCAAGCCCGAGGAGCCTGTTTGAGACCATATAGGGCCTTGTGAAGCTTGCAAACATAGTAAGGCCGAAAACCTATAGAGAAAAGCATTCTTAACATCAAGTTGACGGAGAGACCACTAGCGAGAGACTGCAAGACTCAAAACGGTATAAACAACGACGTGCTTGACAACTGGACTAAAGATTTCAGTATAGTCAAGACCCGGTTGTTAGTGGAAACTTTGGCAACCAGGCGGGCCTTGTAGAGTTCAATACTGCCATTAGAGTTCCACTTATTCCGAAAGACCCATTTACAGCCAACTGGAGCATACAGGGGGAATGAGGAACCAGAGACCACATATTGTTTTTAAGGAGGGCGTTGATTTATTTGGTTATAGTGGAACGCCATTCTGCCTGCTTTTGAGCTTGAGAGAAACAAGTGGGTTCATTAGTAAGACTAACTGAAAGTAAACCATGAGGCATGGGGTACCGCATAGTTCCATCAATACGTGTTTTGGGTTGAATGATGCCGACACGAAGTCGAGTAACTATTGGATGTGAAGGCGGAACTGCAGCAGGCGCAGGCTGGGTGGAGGTAGATGTGGCATTAGGCTAGGCCACCGTGGGAGTGGGAGTTGCAAGCGGGTCAAGAGAAGTGGTGAGGTCTAGGTCTAGACATGGGCTTGGGTCTGGACACGGGCCTAGAGAGTTGCTGAGGCTGGGACTAGGTGCGGAAAATGGGCCTGAATAGATGTTGGAATCTAGAAAGGGAGATGGGCCGGGTTGGAGACATGGGCTTGGATAGGGGCACGAGCCTGTTGATGGACTAAGTCCTGGTGGAAGACTAGGGTCGTGCGAATTTGGGAGAGGAGAGGATGTTGTAAGGAGAGTCGGGCCAGAACTGATGGTTGATGGGGCCAGTAGTGGGCTAAGCTGGAAGGTGCGGATGGTGTGGTTGGATTCAGTGGAGCAGGCAACAGACCCAAGGGTAGTATGTCAAGCTTAACCATAGTAGGAGGAAGGGCAACCTGTGAAGTCTTAAATGGAAAACACATTTCATTAAATATTATACTACGAGAGACATAAACCCAACCAGTGTTTGGATCAATACTAGGATAACCCTTATGGTGAAAACTATAACCGACACATTCGATGGAACGACTCATGAGTTTGTTGGGAACATAGGGACCTAGATGTGGGAAACATGAGCACCTAAAAACATGAAGATGAGAGTAGGAAGGAGGATGACAAAAGAGAACATAATAAGAAGTGATCCAATTAAGGACGACTGTGGGGGTTAAGTTAATTAAATGGACGGCCGTAAGGGCAGCGTTGGCCCAAAAGCGATAAGGGACTTTGGATGTGACTAAGAGAGTGCGAATCATGGTAACGATATGACGATGTTTACGTTCAGCAATACCGTTTTGTTGACGTGTGTGAGGACAAGAAAAGCATTGTTGAATACCATGAGATTTACAATACTCAGAGAACACATGATTGATGTATTCGGTACCATTATCACTTTGGAGAAATTTAATAGAAGAGTTAAAAATATTTTGAATCATGGCTGTGAAGGTTTTGAAGTGAGTGAAGAAATCAGATTTGTTTTTCCTGGGATATATCCATGAATAGCAGGAGAACTCATTAGTGAATAAGACATAGTAACATAGAAGAAGGTATTTCAATTCTTTTGGTGATCCGGCGACACCCGGATTTGAACTGGGGAAGAAGGATTTGTAGTCTCGGCCATGCCTCCAAATGATGCAAAACATATGAAATTTTTTTCCTTTTGCCTTCTTTTGTATTGTACGTGTATTTTGAATCCAAATCTCGTTTTACTTAATTCCTTTTCTACTTAATTCCTTTTCTAAAAGAAATCTTTATTTTTTGTTTGGGTTGGATCCATCCCTTCGATTAATTGTGTAGTATCTTAAAACACAAAATATCTAAAAATTTCCCTTACCCTGTTTTTATATTGAAAAACAAAATTTGGATTTTTCATTCACAAAAGCAAAAATTTAGAACATACTGGAACCGTTAACTATAATGATATAAGAAAATCAAAATTGATGCATAACTAATTAGTATTGATTTTGTTTCAATACAAAAAAAAATCCTTCTCAATTTCAATTATAACAGCAATTATGGGGATATGTAAATCCTAAAACATAAATTGTTACAAAATATTAACTAATTGGGTATCTTATCTGTGTATGATGCCCATAGGTAATTTTCAGGAAATTATCATGTTTAAATTTTTACAATTTTTCCTTGAATATAAAATATAAATTCTGACAGAGCATAACTTGTTCTGTCCTGAATAAAGCTCTAATAAAGGGGAAGCAGCATATGTATATATAGATAGCTATAGTTAGATTTAGATATGCACATGCTTATTAATCAAAATCAGCCTCATTATACACTTCAATCATATTCTACAAATTCGACTAAAAAAGAGAGGTAAAACATCTCTCTTCTACGAGAATTTATTTTTATTTTTTAACAATGAACCGATGAATCCACGAATAAAGTTTAGTACGAAAAATTCTATATTGTTTTTATGCCTTTGTCTCATTATCTCATTGAACATATCCTAAATACATTTATGGTATCTAATTGGAACACGGAATATCATATTAATGGTAGAAATTGACTCACTTTTCGTTTTGATATTCTATACAAAATTGCTTAAGTCTAAGTATAATTTATCAATTTCATTCCATCTGTTGCAAATTTCAATTGAGTAAAAAAGTTCTCTTTATTCCTCCATTCATACGTATTTCAGACATTACATATATTATATGGGGTTAGGTAAAATTTCATGTGATTCAGTAAATAGAATATAAATTCCATCATTGCTAGATCGATCCATATGATTCGATGAAGAATGAGCAAATAGTGGAATTTTTGTCTTTAAACGAGAAATTTTTAAAAAAAATA